TAGACACATGAAGAAATGCTCAACCTCCCTAGCATAAAAGAAATGCAAATCAAAACAACATTGAGATACCTCCTCACCCTAGTTAGAATGGCTGTAATGAAGAACTCTAATAACAACAGATGCTGGAGAGGATGTGGATAGAAGGGAACTGTACTGCATTGTTGGTGGGAGTGTAAACTTGTTCAACCATTTTGGAAAGTAATATGGAGGTTCCTAAAAATACTCCACATAGAGCTCCCCAATGACCCAGCAATCCTAAACTTTTTCTTTATAGTTTTGTTTTGGAGATTCAGACAAGGCCATGTTCCACGTATCTGTACAGCCTTAGTAACCATGATTATAGGAGATTATCGAAATGCCTAGATTTCTTTTGAGATAGCTTCTTTATAACAATTGGCCAGTATAACCTCAACTTGAATTCACTTCTTTACTTCTCCCACTTATGTGGATTTTAGACAATATTTTGAATACTATTTAATCTTGACATATCCTCAGATTTCTAAAAATAATTATTATTTTGAGGCCTTAGATTACAGAATTGATGAATATTGATATGTGGCTACATAATTTTGCCAAGTGAAGATCTCCTTAGCAAAAATAGATTTCCCCTAAAGCCTAATTTCTCAAACCTTGTATGGATCCTTATTATCTGCTTAAGGTACAGATTGCTATGCAGTAGGTATGGGTGTTTTCATAAATTTTGTGTGTGTTGTTGGGGTGAACCAAAACTAACTCCACTTTTAATATACCAGGATTTCCTGCCCACCCTTGAGAATCAAAATACTGGTTTCTCAAAAGCCCCGAGGGTCAGTAAATATGCTGTTTGTTGAGACCCCAGGAAATGTGGAAACTGTTTGGAAAGCAATTTAGGATTGTTGTGATCAGGTTGTTTGATGTGTAGCCCTGTTTGATTATCAATAGCCCAGACAGGATCTGCAGCCCTGTTTGGTTATCAACAGTAAAACAGCCCAGCCACCTTTGCTCTGCCAGAAAGGAGCAGGCTAATCTCTGTCCCCATGAATGAGAATATCCACCTGCCTTGTGTGGAGACCACCCAATTTGCATCCCAATTCAAACCAGAATTATAGGTTACTTCAAACAGATACTATGAGATGCAGAGCACATGGGCAGCAAAGATGGCACTGAGAGAGAGTAGAGTGGGTAGAGCCTAATTTCCCTTATGTTCAGTGCATAATCAGCCCGTGGAAGCTTAGGTGCATGACAGGGTGTGACCTTGACAGTGTAGTTTCGACTTCCCACCCTGCCATGCCACTTGCCCTTTTTGGCTTTAAAAAGGACTGCTCTCTGTTAATAAACGAGTTTTCTTCCTACTTGATTTGGCTCTCCACTGTGTCTGATTGTCTCCTAGGCTGAGGGAGGCTAGGGATCGGGCGAGCACCGCAGTTACCTTTCCTCGGACCCCGTCTGTCTTTCATGGGAGGGACGAAGACCCAACAATGAGTCAGACTGTAATCCCATTGGCCACTGACATAAATATGCAATCTTTGTGTGTGTGCTACAATCCTGTTGGCCACCTGCATGTTGACAGGCTTGAGCATATGAGTATTGTCTTTAAAATCCCTAGCTTGAGGGCCATTCGGGGTGGCAGTTTCAGCTCCAGAGTCTGTACTGAGTCGCTTCCTTGTCAGCTATCCACTTCCCCAAAAACGTCATCTTTTTACATGAGTCTGTCTTTACATGAATGGTGGACTGTTTTCCCCAGAA